GCCTCTGCGCATCGGAGCAGGCCGCTAGACTGGGGCTCGGCTCCCGGACTCTCCAGGAATCGCGCGGGAGCCGCTGCTCCCGGGTGTTCTATGAACCCTGCGAATGTGGATCCAGACGAACACCTGGGGGATTAAAAGGGGGTGTTTCTGCTTCCAAGAGTTCATGGGGGCGGGGAGGGAGCCCCAAAAGGCCCTAAATAAGGCCTTATTAAGGGCTTGATTGGGCTTATTTGGGCTCCCTCCCGCTCCCTTCCCTCCCCCCAGCCCCCATGAAGAGTAACTGAGACCCTTTGAAATGGGAGCCCCCCTGTTGATCAGCTAGGTGTATTCCTCGTGGGTTCCCAACGCGAAGCCGATTTTCTATCCCTGCGCTTCGCATCTTGCTGTGAGATGAACTCACGGGTCTGAACCCGCCCAAACGTCCAATCACGCCAACCGCACCTGGCAACCGCAGACAAGTGAAAGAATCTACGAAACCCGTCTATTCGCGTATGTCTCAAGATAAGAAAAAATCTCACAAAACCGGGGCAACCGATTGAACAAATCGAAAACGTGTACCCTCAAAAATACACACCGAAGATTGTGTTCCTTGTGGTTTCCCCTTCAATCACTGAGTTCCTCAACTGAGCTGTCCTCAGATCCACTGCTCAAAGTTTCACTTTTAGGGGGGGTTAAATGGAAACCCCCAAACCCAAAAAAGCTAAAAAGCCAAAAAGCCAAAAAGCCAAGAAGCTAAAAAAGCCAAAGGCTAAAAGGCCAAAAGGCCCAAGGAACCGGACGGCTGGGAGCCAACCTGCAACTCGGTGAATCCCGCCGTCCCACCTCAAACTTGTCGAGCTGCAAAGTCGTTGTCCATCACCGAGGAGGCCCACTGCTTCGTGGGGTCCTGGGGGGGGGGGACTCCGGCAGCCCCTCGCCTTGAGGGAAAAAGAAGGTGTCTGTTCCTTTTGAAATGGTTTTGTGGTGGGTGATTTCCTTTTGGTCTTGGTGGTTTCCAAGGAAAAAGGGTCTAGAAATGTCCCCTCCCTCTCTCCCTTCTCTTGTCTGCCTTCCCTCATTCCTGGGTGCCTTGCTTATCCTTCATGTCTTCTTTGTCTTTATTTCATTTGTTCTTTTGTTCTTTAGTTTGGTATTTCTTTCTGTTGGTCTTTCCGTTTTATGTCTTTGTTGATTGATTTATTTGTGTTCATTCTCTATTTCTGTCGTTCCGTCTGTATTTTGCATGTTCATGTGTTGGTGTTATTTCTTGTCTTTCTTATCGTTATTTTGTTCCTTCCTTTGTATTTATAATTATTTATGTATTTATTCATTTCTTTATTTATTTCATTGTTTATGTATTTATTTATTAAGCTCTTCTTTCCTTTCTTCCTTCCTTCCTTTTCTTTCTTTATTTAGTTCTTTATTTCTTTCTTTCTTTCTTTCTTTCTTTTTTTCTTTCTTTCTTTCTGTCCTTCTGTATTCCTGTTTCTTGACTTTCTGTCTTCCTGTCTTTCTTGTCGTCCTGTCTTTCTGTCTTCCTGCTTCCCTGTCTTTCTATCTCTGTATTTCTGTGTTTATTCATTTATTGATGTTAGCTTTCTCGTTCGTTCTTGCGAGCTTCTTTTTGTTGCTTTGCTTTTGTTGATGTTTGTGTGTTTTGTGGTTTATTTATTTATCTCGGTCAGTCTTTCTTTATGTCGTTCATTTTATTGTCCTCGACATCCTTGCCTTTTCGTTTCTGTGATTGATTCCTTTCTTTTGTTCGGTATTTGTTGTTGAAGTTACTGTCCTTTATGTTGTTTTTGCTTTTCTTCATATACATTCTAGTGTCTTGTCTTGAATTTATGTCTGTCTATCGTATTTCTATACTTGTGTCTTTGTTTGTCTCTTGATTTGTTGATTTATTTATTTATTACCTTCCTTCCTTCCTTCTTTCCTTCTTTGCTTCCTTCCTTCCTTCCTTCCTTCCTTCGTGCGTTCTTTCTGTTGTTTGTTCTGTTGTTTGATTTGTTGTACTGTGCTTTGCTTTTCCGTTATGTCTTTCTTGCCTTCTTTCCTTCTTGCTTTCTTTCTTTCTTTCTCTGTCTTTCTTTCTCTGTCTTTCTCTCTCTGCCTTGTCCGTCTGCCCGTTTGTCCGTCTGTCCGTCTGTCCGTCTGTCTGTCGGTCTGTCTGCCTGCCTGTCTGTGAGTCTGTATCCGTGTCCATCTGTGCTTGGTGTCAGCTGAGTTTCCTTTGTCTGGCAAAGAGTGCCCAAGAAATCCCTGGTCGCACGGTCATGGGTACACTGTTGCACCACGATTTACAAGGAAGGAACGGGCAAAGGGCACCCAAAGCAATCGGCACCCTTGTCACTTGTCACTAACCAATTCTGATTTGTCTATGCTCAGCAGCTAGAACCAATACACAGCTAAACCGAAAGGGCACCTTAGCAGCTAAACCAAACGCATGGATCTGGAGCTGGACCCAGAATGCATTGCGCTGCGCCTGTTTCAACAGATTCCTGTCTACTTGGCCGACATGTTATGCCTGTCGGACTCGATTGATCCGGGCAAGGCAAGTCTGCACATTCCACGCTACAATGGCAACGGCCGACAGAATGCCTAAGTCGAAGAGGAACTTGTAGGTCTGGAATTCCAGCCAAGACCTTGAGCTGGCAAAGGGTGTGGCTTTCTTTGGGAGGTCGGTGAAGACAAAGAGGACAGCAAAGCCCAGCATCAAGAGCAGGACGCCTGCAACGTTCACCGCTCGATAGCACCAAAGGTTCTGCTGCTGCTTCTGCAGAAGCCGTGTGACAAACTCGGCCCACACAACCACGAGCGGTCCGGCTGCTAGGATCCAAACTAGGGGAAGGAACATGATCCAAAACTGTGAAAATCCTGGAATCTCGCCATGCAGCGCAGCGCTCCAAGCCAAGCAGTCCATGGGCCAGAAAAGTATCCCACTATTCATCACCAGCAGGAAGCGATAGGAGAACATATGCACTCCAAGCTGCCGAGAGAAGAGCTGCAGAACGTCTCCCCGCACTTGGCTCTCGAAGGCTTCAACCGAACCAAACCAGCTTTGAACCAGCCCGGTCAACACGTCCCGGTCACAATTGATGCGCTTTCCAGTCTTAGGGTTGGTGTGGTTCACGGTGCAGCAGTAGCACTGGGCATCCTGCAGCCGGAATGTCTTCAAACGGGTTTGGGCCGCATGTTTTTCGCGATGGACGCGACGCATCAGATCAACGGCCAAATAGAGGAGTGTGAGCTGAGGAGCCAGGGCCAAGATCAGTGCCACCGGTGGCACGTCAAGCGTGGGGAGCATGGCATTCGCGAAAAGGAACAACACTTGCATCATGAAAATCGCCAGGGCAGCTGGCCCCAAATAGGTGGGACGGATTTGTACACTGTTTGCCCTGGCTGCAGCTCCCTCTCGGCTCTTCAGAAATGCAGCCAACTCAATGACACACCACAAACGTTGTGTGTAGGTCTCGTCAAAAAGGATCAGCAACTCTTCAGAATGTTTCAGGAAGCCTCCCATGCTGGTGATGGCTTTGCCTTTCATTTTAGGGTCTTCTTGGTGAATGCATATGCCTGGGTGGCTCAAACCTCCTGCGAAAAAAGCTTAAACGGTTCTTGGTTACCGGGAAAAGTCTTTGCCCAAAAATCAAGGGCTGAAAATCTAACCAAATAAAAGCCAAGATACGATCCAAAAAGATGGTGCGCCCTGGCCGCCACAGCAGAACGGTCAGCACGACAGCTACGAATCCGGTGGATTGGCAATAGAAATGCAGTGGGCGACCGTCGAAGAGCGGATGGCCTACAGGCGGAAGGACTCCAGCACCCAAAAGCAGCATCGTGAGAATGGCCGCGAGGTGCGCCGCAACGAGTGCAGCAGGACCGTTGAAGACTATCATCAGAGTCAGAGTCTTCTTCCAACGTCTCTCCCTCCAGCTGTGGGACCAGAACTGCCCGATCTTTGTCACCGGCCAACTCTTGCCAAAGAGGCCCCTCCTCTGGTTGCAAGCTTCTTCAAGCCAGTTGAAACACAAGTGAGCCCGGAAAAGGAGAGCACCATTAAAAAAGAAGAGCAACATAAAAAGAAATGAGAGCAAAAAAAAACGTGCAAGCACCAGTCAGTCCCAGTCCTGCGGAAGCCTTGCCCGAAGCGGCTGAGAGCCTGATGTGCAGCGGTCCCTCGAAGAACCTCCGGGTCTGCCACTGCCATGCCTTTCATGAAGGCCGCCAACGACTCCTTGGGATCGATGTGTGGCACGTCCCTTTCAGGCGCGGCCATGAGGAAAAAAGAACACACCACCCAGGCGCTGGAACAAATGAAAACGCAAACTTTAGTTTGAGCCGCAGAATCTGGCACACAATTGGGACCCACTCGAGATGGTCCATTCTTGGGAGCTGTTTGACTGCTCAATCTTGCCTTGACCTCCTTCCGCTCGATTGGCGGCGTCACATCAAGCTAGGATGGTCCTTTAGAGACGGGTAGCCTGACAAAACATACAAGCTCGAACTGGGCCGCCTCTTGGCTTTGCAGAGGAACTTGTGGTCCCGACATGTCGACAGGGGTTGGTCCACCCCGCGGAACCAAACAAGACACATCCAATCGTAAAACACGACCCGAAACAGCATAGCAACATACAACACAACACAAATGTGTTGAATTGGGTTCAACACGTCGACACCTTGTTGAATCAAAATTGCTCAAAAGGGAAGCCACTGGAAATTGGTGTGTGCCAAAATAGAAGATACCCAACAAATGGTTGCTCTTAGAAACCACCCCAAAAAGGGTAGGCGCACACAAATGCAGGACTCCTTGTCACTGTAAGAACCCACGTTGCGATTGGAAGCAACACCTAATGTGTTCAACACAAGATCCTTCGAAATAAATCAGCCAGCAAATCAGCTTCCCGCTCGTTGGCTTGAATTGGCAGGTTGAGGGGGTGACTTTCCATGTGCAAGGACCAGTTCAAATCCCAAACACAAACCAGCTTCGATTCGGCAACCCGAATCACCGCAGAGTGAAACGTTCAAGCCCGGCCATCGCTGAGTGATGGCTCCGAGGATTGGGCTAAAAACAATGGAACCCTGGATGACACCTTGGTAAATGGAACCAAAGACTAAAGCCTGCGGTTGGCCCCGGCTCTTTCATTTTGAGCCATACCCACCTGCATTGCCAGCTGGTTTAAGTTTAGAGAACATGTCAAGGGGGGTTCTGGATGCATCCCAAACCTGTTGGAGGCTCAACAGCTGAAAGCTATTGAGCAGCTTTCGGGAAGGATTTTGGAGGGTTCCACTGTCCTGAAGCAAAAAACATGTGGTTTTTTTTTCATATATATATATATATATTTATATGTTATGTGTGGCAAACAACATGTAGTTGTCCTTTTGGTTCCCAAAATGACCCGAACCCACATGGCGTTGCAACCCCAGACTGCGGAGGAAAAAAAACAAAACACAAAAAACAACATGCTTTTGTAGTGTTGTTGTTCTGCTTCTTTATTCCTGAGCCCCCCCCTCCCCGGTACACGTGCTGAGAAAAAAATGACGGCAACACCATCAGGTCACTCCTTCAAGTCCGGCCACAGGCGCAACTTTAGCAGCTTCGGGGCCAGGACCTTCACCTGGTCCATGCCATCCTCGTGAGAGACCCACCGGGCTCGTGCCTTTTTCTGGTTCAGGGGTGGCGTTCCCTTCGGCTTCCCAGAAAAAAGAAACCACCAAAAAAGACCATCAACAAAACACACTCCCAAATGTAGGGTGATCCTACAGGGGGTCTAACAAATGGATTCTTCTTTGTTGGATCAGGATCTGGTTGTTTCAAGAAATGTGGCATTCAAAAAAGAGGGCACCCTCTTCTGGAGAAAGCACGGGAAAAGAGCAAATCATGGTTGGTTTAAGTTGACACATTGTCCAACGGCCAACAATTTGTTGGATCTTCTGGGCCATCCTGAGGCGACAGAAGCTCTGGCGGCATCCTTTCAGGTGGATGGTTGCTGAGGCTTTGTTCAAAGGATATGTGCAAATCTCAACCAGTGTTTTTCCTCAATTCTCGAGTGGATTGGCCGGAAACAGTTTAAACTGCTTGTTTGCCACTAAAATGGTCTTCCCGAAAAGGGGAGCAAGTTTCCTTGGGGCAAGGGGTCAAGTCTCCTTCCAAACATAGCAGAGATACAGCTCACGAAAGTCGGGGACAAATTTGCAACTTGTGATTTGTAGGTTCTGTTTTGATTGGGCTCTACCCTCTATGTGTGTCTCTTTTTGAGGGGGCCTCCACAAAAAAGTGGCTTTCCGTTTGGTTTCTCTTATACAACCCCATCAAGAGGTGTTCCCTCAATCAACAAAAGAAGAACTAATATAAATGAATTCTCTGATTGTGCTGGGATCCTGAAAGATCAAAGACGAATCCCTGTTGAGACGGTCCCAAATAGATGTTGCTCTCATGGACGCCAGTTACAGGAATGTCTAAAGGAAATTTGCCAAGCACCCAACAAGACCTAGAATGTCCTGTCGAATTTACATGTACAGGCATTTCTCTGCGAGAAGCTAGGCCCAAGCCCAGATGCATCATCCACAAAGGCTTTGGTGACCAAGCCAGTGAGGCTTCTTTAATGTAAAACCAACCTGAGGCAAAAGGCGTTGCTCGCAGGCAAATTCCACCATGCAAGCACCTGAGACAGAAGGGGAGTACTTAAAGCAAACTTCTGGAACGCAACATGTCAATTCCACCGTGCGAAGCAGTGTGCATGTGCACTCCTTCGGAAAAAATGAAAGAACAAATCCATCAAACGAAAAAACACCGAACCTGTAAAGTGTGAATAGTCCAACTGGGTCCAAAGCGACATCCTCAAAGTCCACTCGAAATCGAAGGGTCCAAAGGGGCGACCCGCCCAAAAACTAATTTTGAGAAGGGTGTCAGCATTGTGTGTTAGAATAGGAGACCCGATTTTGCTAGTTTCCTCTTTGGCTTTCTATTGAAACGAAGCCTAGAAACCGTCGAACAACCACCGCGCGCACTCGATCCGAGACGCACCCTGCTCGATTCCCAGCAGCACCAGCAGGCCCCTGCCAATCTTGGACGCCAACTTCTGGTCCACTTGAACCTCAGCGCTTGGTCTGGAAAAGATTGGGAACATACTGCGGCAGCGTGGTGTCCCGTTGGGAAATCAACAATTGTGGCTTGCTGATGGGATAAAATGAAAACACAACACGGTTACGACCGACTTGCCATGGTTATAATAACTGGTCGAATTGGATTATACGCAAGCTGGGTGCTACATAACATGCAGCGGTGTTGGTCAATATGATGGTCTGCAGTGAAAGGTCCTTTAACAAATCAAGTCCTATTTGGTGAAGTGGGTGTTAAATAGGGGGACTAAGAAAATTAGACAACAATACAAAAGGAAACCAACAAATGCAGTTGCCACGTAGCACCCAGGCACGCTGGCTCTTGTGACCCGCTGGATTACCAACTTCATGGCGGCAGGCTGCAATGGGCTTGCATGGGTCGAAATATGGCTGTCCCTTGGACTCGTCCGAAGAGTTTTCGAGGGGTCCAAAAGAGTTCCATCCTCTTATCCTCTGTGAGATGTAGAGCATCAATTCGCTGATGCTGCTTGTCATCGTCATCGGCCTGATCATTCTGCCGGGTTTGGCGCAGCCATTCAAGGGGTCATGGTGCAACTTCTGCCAAAAAACACAACCTTACGTAGATAGTACTGTTGCTTGTCATGACGATCAGCAAGTGGCGCTGCAAACGCAGCACTCTGATGATATCAAATGTTCCCTGTCTGCTGGGATGTGGCGCAACCGCCACCTCACTGACATGAGCCGAGAGTGATGCCTGGCAAAAACTGCAAATGCAAAGGTCCAGTGGTCCCGGTATCGATCGATCACTCTACACGCACAGGCAACGCATACGCAGGGACACCGCACCACGCCACACCAATACAAACAAAAAGACACGAAACGACACGCTACATGCGCACACAAAAGCACAACATGGTTGGTTTACTAGAGTAGCGGCAAGCATCTCCTGGCCATTTTGTCACAACTGGAAGTACATTAACACCTTGGCCTCACACCGCAGTGTCCCAAGTGGATGTTTGTTTAACAAGGGGACTTGGGAACCTGGTGCAGCTGTTCAACTTCCGGCAGAGTCGGGCTCTCAGATCCAGAAGTCCCGACATGTTGACATGAGTGATTGGGCTGTCAAACAATTAGCGGAACCCTTCTTGGATCGCAAAGGAAACCCTTTAAAGGACAAATTGGTACCGAATCTAGAGAAGTTCCTGGCATCTTCGGCATGGCGTGTGTTGCGAAAGCCGCATCATGTGGATGGGCCACTTACATGTGTTTCAAAATATTGGATTCTTCAACACCTACCAATACTGGCTGGACACATCCACAGACGTTGCGCAAAGCGCATCTAGTACTGGGTGGGGCTTTTTTTGTTGCCCTTCTTTGGGTTGGTTCAAGGGTAAATCAATAGGGAAAGCACCATTTCGAGGGGTAGATTTGTTCGATCGCAAAATCTGACAGGCAAACAGCGCTGGATTCCTATAGGCGTTGACCATCACCTGACCAGTCACGTGCGCGGCACGCAGTTGATGCCCGCCGAAAGTACTCATTGCCAATGCCGAAATACCGAATATATGTATGCATATATATATATATATGTATATATGTTATCCAGTCGTTTCCATCGGGCCCTATGCAGTCACCCTGGAAACGGTTCTCAAGTTCGTCCAGTCCTAAGGCCACTACCTCCCTCTCTGCGACCAAGGGAGGAAACCAAAGTCTTTGCTCAAAGCTGGAAACAAAGATTCCCGTTTTAATTTTGGGTGCCTCTTTTTTGAGGGTATCCTTCTGGAGTCGTTTTTAAGAGAAAACCACTCGGAAACCAGGTAACCCCTTTTGACGAATCATGGCCCAAACGGTCTGAACTCAACGGTCGGCTTTCGGCTCTCCGAAGTCCACCTTGCGCCCACTCGCTTCAACTTTAGCATGTCGGGGCCGGGTGCCGAAACAGCTCACGGATCCATTTGCAATCCGTGCATCGCCATTAGCAACGAGTATTGTACAATGGAGAGCCAACAGCCCATCCGGTGCGCATAACCCCTTCCCTTTGAACTGCCCAGCAAGCCATACATGACAAGCAAGCTTGCATATCAGGAAGCAGAGCTAGACCTGGACTGGAATGTGGTGATCCTAAATCAGAGTGTTGTCTTGAGCTTGGGCCCAACAAGAATCGACTAAGCTTTCAACACCATGTCAAAGCAAATATGGGTAAACCCAATCAACTTGTCACCAGTCCAGTGCTGAAGGCTTCTGAACACCGGATTCCAGCTGGCAGCTGATCCCGGGACAAAATCCTGCACCGCATGGCTCCAAAGGTCCACTTCAGCCAACCAATTTACCTCCAAGGGCCGAATCCAGAGTTCCCAACTGCGTGCCAGCAAATGGACAAAACAAAAATCCACGCTCGGCACCGCTTGGGATGAAACCAAACCAGCCATCTCTTGCAAGATCTGGTGCAGGAGCTCGTCCAAATAGGCAACGGTGCCGCGGCCAAAGGCAACGCAGTGAAGTTGGAAAACAAATTGATCTGGCAAGCCTTGACTGAGCCTGCAAACATCTCAAATGTACCCGTCCAAACAGACTGTCATGGATGCATTCGCCCAAAGCTTGTCAGGACTCGTATGGGATGGGCCCTGTCGGACAATGCCTTTGTCACTGGTCAAAATACAAACATCCGCAGCACGTCTTCGAGATTTGAGGACTTGAGCAATTTATCAGGGATCATGTACATGATACACCTGAACACTGCCTTGTAAATGGTGGTTTCCAACTTTATTCTGGTCTTGAAAAAGCCACAGGTTTCAAATTAAGCAAGATGGAGATCTTTTGTTGGGCGCCCTGTTTATATTAAAGGCACCACAAGGAGCCAGCAATGAGGAGCCATAAGGCGCCCTGTTTCTATTCACCAATGTTCTTAAGCTAATGGAGCCGAGACAGGTGCGCAACGGGTGTTCGTGCGAGTGATCCTTCCCCGGCCTGCACGCTACCAATTAACACCAAATGACCAGAAAACAGAAACATTCTCAACTAAAAAGCGAAAAACAGAAACTGAAGCACATTCTCAAATGAAGAAACAAACAAAAGATGAGCCCCCTTTTTGGTAAAGCCCAGTTCATTTGTAGGACTCACAGACTTGCTCGCGGGGAACGCATGGATTGGGGGTTCCGCGTCGCATCTAGGCCAAGGGGCCCCCTCGCCGTCTCACCGCGCGAACGCTCCGCCTGCGAAATGTCGAGATCCCATGTTTGGCGCATGAAAGATCCGGCAGGTCCACGAGAGGACATGCTAGAGTTTAGGGTGCTAAAGTTTACGGTTTAGGGCGCAATATAACATATTCACACTTCTACCGCAAGGATGATTCTACATAGAGTTGGGACAAATTACATGGGCAAGCAAGAGTCGAGTCACAGTCTATTAAAGCCACCCCGTAGTGCAAGCTTGAAAGTTAGCTACACATTCAGGCACAAAATGGACGCTTCTCCGTTTCAGCCCAACCGCGAATCAGCGTTGGAATCAGCGTTGGAAGCCAGGGACCGTGTAAGAGAATGGCCAAACTGCAGCTCTGCCCAATGATGCGCGCACACCACCTGCCAACTGGTGCAGGAATTCGTCCATCGAAGTGCGGCCTTTGTCCCCATGCTTGAGATTCCCCAAGCATCGCATGAGGCCTCTTGGTGTCCGTTTAAAACATTTTTCCAAAGGTCAGGGCTTCGTTCTTTGGAACGGGACTCCCCGGCAAAACTGATTCAAGGCCTGGCCCCACCCGGGGGAACTGAGCGAAACCCGGAGCAACCCACCTGGCAAAACCAGGGGCGGCACCGAGGGTGGGCGGGCGCCTGCAGCCACGTCAGCTTCGGGGGCTTCGGGGGCCCTTTCAGGGCCGCAAAGGATCGCCTTTGTTCCAAGACCCATGAAGCGCAAGCTCTCCCGGAATCTTCGCACCAACACGTGTCCCACGGACCGAGCCTTCAGGCATCCAAGTGGTTTCTTTGAATTCTCTGAATCTGCAAGGACACCAATGCAAATGGCGGCTTCCTGGCAATCTGGGATAACCTATGCTGTCTCCCCTCAAAGCCCCGAACCTGCTTTCGGTCTTTGGCTGTAGGGTCTTTGGGTCTTCGGGTCCCTGGATATTTCTACCTGTTGGTAAAATACCACAGCTTCCATTGCCCAACACGAGGCGATCCCCAATTCTCTAGCAGCCGCAAAAAATAACGTTCGGTGAATACCAAGTCATGACAAGGGAACTTGACGAAATGGGGGTGACTGAACGAACCCCGACCATGTCGCAAGAATCTCCCATCTTTGCTGCAGGAGTTTCAAAATGGGCAAAATGATGTTCCTTTAAACCAACCTTTTGAAAGGCTGGTCCCTGAAAACACACCCAAAGAAAGTTGCGCAAGCACAAGCACATGGTTTTCCCACACCCAGTCACCAGCCTCCTCGCGCGCCTGCCATGGCGGGCCTGCGATGGAACGGGGGAAGGATTGGGGGGTTTGAAGGCTGGGGAAGCCGGCGGGGAACTCAACTGCACAAGGCATGGTTTGCAATTGGTTGCAAAAAACGGGGGGAGGGAGGGGGAGAGGGGGGGAGGGGGGGGGAGGGAGGAGGAGGGGTCTTGCCTCCATGGTTCGAACATACTTCATGAGCGGTGCCAAGGGATCTTGTTGCAGCTTCCAAGACTGGGGTCCGAGTGGGCAAAATCCAATTGTCGCAGCGCTCTCTGCCGTTGGGTCGGGATGAAAGGCTTCAAGCTGCTCGATGACCTTGATCTAATGTTGCTCTCCCAATCCCGCAACCAAAAACACGAACCCCGAAAGTCTCGCAAAACTCCCACATAAGTACTGCGACCCCGCTGGACATTGGACAATTAGTGTGGGTGCCCCCTGCTCTGTTCCCATATTCCTCTCAAAACCAGCATGGTGTGTGTCAAAATGGGGATCAAAATTGTGGTAAGTGTTCCTTTGGTTTCCATGTAGACCAAGGTGAAACGGGTGATTAATTACCCTCAAAAGAAGATAAGCACACATGCAACCTGCTGGCCTTGCGGGCAGCGAGAGCCGACTCGCAAAGGCCCGTTGGCTTGGCGGAGGCGTCAGAGACCGCGCCTGACGCCCCGTCCGCTGAATCGGTTCGGGTCGACGTGCATTGCGGGCCATGATAACGGTTTGTGTCTGGTTAAGGAGCTGCTGGTTGATACCCATTATAAATATCTACATTATATATATACATATATTATATTGCGCTATACATACAGTAGTCAGTATATAGGCAGGCTGAGTATGGTCTCCTACTAGATCGCAGCACGGCAAAATGAATACGCGTGGTCGCACCACATGTTGATTCCCGCTTTCTTGAAACAAACGAGAACGTCCAAACCCCCGGCAGCTCCATGCCT